GTTAAAAACGAGTTAGGAAATTTAAAAATTGAAACAAAAAAGATAGTAGATTTTTTTTTTAACCAGTCTAATGTACATATGTACACATCTAGATAACCTTTCAATATTCTAAACTCTTGGTCGCTTATCTTTCGAGAGGTGCGAAAATTATTATTTTTTTCATTCAAATGGTATAGGGACGCTTATTTATAATTTCATGTGGGCAATATTTACATACATAGTATGTAGGTGTCTGTATTCTTCTTCTTCTATTTTATCTCCCATTTCATTTCATTTATTTTATTTACAAGCTTTTATTAAGTCATCAATTTTCAACCAACTCCCCGGAGAGCTAGATAATTGAAACTTCAAAACTTAGCTCAGAACCCGATGCAACACAAAAGATGAATTAATCCACTAGGTGATCCATGTGTCGAGATATTTTAAACCCCCTTATTTATGGTCCGAAAAGGAATAACTCCACAAAAATTATGCCCGACAGGTGGCGCAGAAGTCGAGATACGTATTTGGAAAATTCGTTTTTTAAGGTCCTATTTGTTTCATACTTAGAACATATCGCACACGATCTTCAAATAATGCACCAATAATATATACACAGAGCTTTTATTCACCTTTAAAAAAAATCTTGGAGCAAATTTTTCTTATAATTTTTTGAGAAAACCTAATGGTGATTTCGTTTCTTCCAAAAAATGTTGCCCTTCTCCGGTGCAAAATGTCTCTGATGTTACACTCAACCCTGTAAAAAGGCACGTTTTTGCCTTCTTGTCCTTATTCAGCTCACACATTTCATAATATTGTTGTTTTAAGCAACCAACTATCTGATTTTCAGGGCAACCATCTCCCCTGATAAAGCTTCAAAGCGCAGAAAATTGAGAAAAGGGCAATCAAAATGCGACAATTTTTGGTAAAGTCTCCTTTGCCCATGTGATTAGTTGTGGTACGAAATAGTTCTTCGTATTTTCTGACGAACGTGTAACTTTGAGTTGTGTCACTTTTGAAGATCTTGTGGGACTACCCATTTCCTGCAGGCTAGTCATGATTCCTTTAATACATAAATAAATAGGTTTTAGTAACTCAAGCATAAGCCGCTAAAAGTTTTCGCCATGGGCTAGTATAAATCTCAGTAAAAACTCAGTTTGAAAACAACCTATCTCGAATCTGGCCATTTTTTCTTTAAAGCATTATTTGTTTGGCTTACCAAACAAGATTTCAATGTTTGAGTAGCCATAGACGTAGTTCACGATGCCTTTATAATAAAAGCTTTATAAAAAATATGAAATCTTTGAAGAGGATCATATTTGCTTTTTAATCAGAAATCAAACCTTCTAAAGGCAATTTAGTTGTTTTATCAAAATGCCACAGACCTAATCAAATTTAATGATTTATTGAACAGATCGATAATGAAACATCTGCTAAAAGGATTCCCCCCAAATTAAAGAAGAATTTTATATAAGTATAGCGGATTTTTTTTAGGGTAATTTTAGTGAGAATAAAATTTTGCTAACTGTTGTTTAGTTGAATTTAAGTCACAGAGTGGTGGGATTTTTTCGATAAGACAAATAAAAACCAAACCTTTTTACTAATTGATTTATCTAACCGCTTACAGTTCATAAAAATACACTGATTACAGCTTATAAGAATATATGGAGGACTTATTTGAAATTTTAAATCAGCTATGAATTAATGTACTTAAATATCTTGTTTGTATATACATATGCACTTGCAATGTAATCTAAAACTATTATTTGCTTAATTAATGCTACTATATAAAATTTAACTGTTAAGTCTTTAGATACTCAAACCATAAAGATAAATATATACTATTAATAATACTTTTCATTCTAAACAAGATAACACTTACGAAATTATAGAAAATAACTAAAGTCATTTATTTACAGAACATATGTATCTATGTACGCAATCGGTTTTATTATGGTTGTCGACGTCGATGTAATTTTTTTCATTAAAAAAAGCCGTCGTAAGTCCAACCCCAGCTGGACTGGACTGCTTTTCTGTTGGTCAATTCTGATCGCTCTTTCTCGATTGCCTCATTTAAACGGTCCAGTTGTGATCAGCAGTGGACCGAATTAATCGTTCATAATGAAAAATTATCTTCCAATCCCACAAAACACTCAACATAACCTTATTAGACGTCAATCCCGGCCTTGAAGTCGTTTGTAAAGAGTCATCGGCATTTGGCAACAATCGCGCTTATTCTCGTATTTTAACAATATTTTATCGCCCATAAAGATTCGCTTTAAAAATAATTCGAATTCGTTGCGTTTCGGCAGTGTGTCTCTGATGGTGATTCGGTCAATATAATTTCTT